TTTTGGAAATAAGACTGACAGCTGATGTTCCTAGAGATATACAACCCCTGATCTCCTGACTACTGGTCCCAAGAGTGTGGATTGTGGGTTCAAGCAAGATGAAATCACTGACTTCCAGTCTTTTCTCCATCTAGCTTAGTGTTGCCTATTGGCCCAATAGTGAGGATAGATGGAAAAATTGAAATTGTTAACAATTCCATTTTCCGTGGAACCATAATCATCTATGGTAACAAAACTCAAGAGGTTAAAAGACATGTTGCATTTGGAAAATACACTGTCAAAGCCCTCTCCAGAGTGGTCAAGAACAAGGATGCCAGTTTCTAGACTACAGTGCTCCTGATCCAAGCAATGGTATTTTTTTAAGCTTTCTTAAATTTTCTTAATTTTTTAAAAAAATTGCTTTCTGTGCATTTGAAAGTTTGACAATGAATAAGGGTGAGAGAGTAAGAATCAGTGCCTTTGAGTTGTGGTATTGGTAAAGACTATCCCATGGATTGCTAATAGAACAAACCTGTCTCTCTTGGAGGAAGTGCGATCAGGATGCTTCTTAGAAGAAATGATGGTGAAACTGTCACAGATACTTTGGATATGTTGTCAGGAGGCAACAGTCCTGACTCAGGAGGGGCCTGGCTCATAGGATAAAAGACATTATGCTGTCAGAAGAAGGGATGAAGACTGTCAATAAGAAGCATTAACACAATGATTGTAACCATGGACCCAAACATCTGAGAGATTGTGGGAATGGCACAAGATAGGACAAGGTTCAGTTCTGTTGTTCATTGGGTCCCTATGAGTTGTAATCAACTTGATAGCACCTTAGAGCAACATACTGAAGTTGTATAACCCAAAATGAGAAAATATTGTATATAGTATTACAGTATTACAACATCAAGAAAACAAAGATTCTCACCACTGGGCCAATAGGCAGCATCATGATAGATGATGAGGAGATTGAGATTGTTGACAGCCTCAGTTTGCTTGGCTCTCCAGTCAACACTCTTGATACCAGCATCCAGGAAATGAAAATGGGGAAAGTCTGCTCCTCAGAAACATCTCCAAAGTACTGAAGAACAATGATGTCAGTCTGAAGACTAAGGTGCACCTGATTCAGACCATGGTCTTTGCAATTACTTGGTATGCATCAGAGAGCTGGGCAATGACTAGAGATGAAAGAAGGAGAATTGATGCCTTTGAGCTGTGGTGCTGGAGAAGAGTACTGAATGTATCACGGACTGCTAGGAGAACAAGCTCATCCTAGAGAGGGTGAAGCCAGGCTGCTCCTTGGAGGCAAGGATTGTGAAGCTTTGTCTGACATACTTTGGACATGTTGCAAGGTGGGATCAGATTTTGGAGAGGGATGTCATGCTTGGGAGGGTGGAGGGACAGCGCAGGAGAGGAAGACCCTGAATGAGATGGATTGATTCAGTCACTTGGGAAGTGGGGATAGGTGTGTCAGAGACAATAAGATTGGCAAGGGATTGAGCAAGGTTTAGGGCTGTTGTACATAGGGTTGCTATGAGTCACAGGCAACTCAATGGCACATAACAACAAAAACAACAGTAATAAAATAGTGACATTTTAAAGAACATGTCAAATGGTTTTTCAAAGTACATTTTTGTGTATGTCGTTGTTATGTACCTTAGAGTCAGAATCGACCCATAGCTGATTCATAGGTGACGTTTTCAGAGGTAATTACTAGCACAGGAGATTGAATCCTACCGGCTGCTCTGTGGGAGAAGGATGGGCAGTCCCCTCCTGTGTGATTAGTTACCTCTGAAAACCCACTGGAGGGTCAGCAATGGGTTGGTTTTAACTCAAGGGTACACAACAACAACAATGAAGATTTAGATTTTTGTGTACAATGGAATAGAATATATATAATGGAATAAAATAATCTTGAAGATTGTTTGAAGTACTTTTTGCAGATATACATTTATTCAACAAACATTTGTAGAGCATTTTCCAAGGTTTCACTAGGCATTTGAAGACAAAGAATTCTGTATCCTGATTTCTGCTTGCAGGTAATCTAGGGGAGGAAATAGATAAATTCCAGAGACAATTGGAGATCAGTGATGAGAGTGGAGTCTGGGTGGGTGCTCAGCGCTAATTTAGAGAACTTGCGCCCACCCAGAGCCCTCCCTCTCTGCTTCTGGAAAACCAGCTATTTAAGTCCTTGTTGTGTACAGTCCTGCTTACACAAACATGAGGTCACCACCCACTGGAGTCTGTTTGGTGACAACTGTTTTTCGTTGTAGTTTTTGACAAAGGTGATAAGGAGTAGGTCCACCCAGACTTTAGGGCTTTGAGAAGAACATCAAAGAGGCTTCTTAGGATGACATGACAATGGGCTCAGGCTTGAAAAAACATGCCCCTATCTTGTTGTAAACTGTATTTAGACAAAACCAAGTGGGACTTCAGCCCTAAAGGAGGCATTCTGGGTCACCAGAAGGTGGAATTCAGGGAGGTGAGCTGCAGCAGTCCAGGGATGAGGGACAAGATATGTAGAGAGAAAAGAAGAAAATCATGAAAGTACGCGTATCAGGACTTTAGGATTTTGTTCTAACGTCTCATGTCTTGTGAAACCTTTGAAACCTAGATATTCTGCAGTTAAGACACAAGGTCGGACTTGTATTTTAGGAGAGGACTTAGTTGTTCTTCTTGTTGTTATATACTGTCAAGTCAGAACTGACCGGTAGCTGACTCTGGTGGATTTTGAGAGGCAGTTAGCATGGACAGAGACAAGGCCAGACTTGCGTTTGAGGAGAGAATTTAGTAACTTATAGAAAACAGAATGGTGAAGTTAAGACAGTATCACAAAGATAAGGTGGTATAAGTATTCTGGCAGAAAAGTACAAGGACACACAAAATAATTAAAGAAATTTAAAAAAAAAAGTCCTAAAATAAGAAGGAGCTGGAGCATCCTAAATTAGTGACTAATTAGAAGTTGCTGGAAGAGAAGAGAGAGTCACAGGGGTCTTGAGATATCTGGCATTTGAGACAAGTATCAACTCATTGGTGAGTTCTGAGGCACTGAGTTTTTAGACACTTTCTGGGAGTTTCTTATTTACCGTCTTCAGGAACTCATACAAGTTATTCATCTAGAGTTCAGACAGGAAGAAGATACACTGTTAGATGAAGAAGAAAGACGAAAAATGTTACATTGTTGTTAGGTGCCCTCAAGTTAACTCTAACACATAGCAGTCCTATGAACAGTGACCTGAATCTCGCCCTATCCTGCACCATTCTTCCATCTCTGATACGTCCAAGCTCATTGCAGTGTTCACCCACTGCAGTGTCAGTCTATCTTGTTGAGGGGCTTCCTCTCTCATTGACCTTCTACCTTTCCCAGCATGATGTCTCTTTCTCTCTAAGAGCTGATTTCTTCTGGAAATATATTCTCAGTTCTCTAAAATATATGCCCTATCATAATAGCAGTTTCTATTTACTTAAGGTTATCATTAGGTGATAGAAATGAGACATTTTCTTTTCTTCTTTACATTTGTCTCTCTCTCTCTCTCGTGTGTGTGTGTGTGTGTGTGTGTGTGTGTACACACACTTTCTGGTGACCTGGTATGGTAAGGAATTATGGTGCCAACACAGAGATGCACAACTTGAGTTCACCTGCTGCTCCATGGGAGACAGGCAGGCTGTCTCCTTCTGAAAACCCACTAGAGGTTAGCTGTGGGTAGTTGCAACTTGATGGCACTCAGCAGCAATAAATATCATGCATTGTGAGAAAAGCCATGTATGTACCATATTGTAGATGAATCATTAGATGTCTGCATTCATATGTACAGTAGAGTCTGACTAAAGACTCCAGTGCCATCTCCGTGTCTCCTCTGTGCATGTCATACACACCAGTAATTGCTCGTTCTGTGCACACCCACCTCTATGTCTTTGCTTATTTTGTTCCTTCAGCATGAAATACTTTTCCTCTTATTTACCATCTGCCAAATGCACTGTGGTTGGAATTAACATGAAACTCTTCCAGGAAGCCTTCTACAGCCTGATTTTCCAATGAATCAAGGCACATCTCACTTTTCTACTTCCTTAACTTCTCCTTCTGTGTATGCTTGTAATGTTACGCTTGTTACACAGCTGTCTCTCCATTCAAGCTATCATTATTCCTAATGGACTGTACAATCCTAAATTCCCGGGGCTGTGTTTTACTCTCCTTCTACCTAACAACTTATTTAAAGCAAGTGATCTAAAATTATGTGTTTGTAAATTCTTGTATAATTTTTTTATTTCATATACAATACACATTTAGATTACAGACACAGAATAGAAAAGCTGGATTAAGCTTCTTTAGTTTAACTATGAGTAAAAGCAGGACCTATGAGCTCTAATTGGCCCCAATCTCTCTGGGCGCTCTGGTGACCTAGTGGTAAAAAGCTACCCTGTATTCTCAAAGGCATGTGGTTCGAATTCACCTGAGTGGTCTATTTCTGTGCAAATAAATGCCTCTGAAAACCTATCGGAGGGTCAACTTTGAGTCAATTCTGACTCAAGGATACATAACAACTGACATGTAATCAAAATACATGTTGGGATGGTAGACACGGCACACACCTTATGATCCAGCACCTAAAAATGTGTGGTGAATTGCTTATAGCCTTGTGCCACCTTCTTTTCTCTGAAAGAGGATCTCAGTAGGTGGTGACCTGAGGCAGGCGGGGCAGGGTGTGGACCCAGCAGGACAACCTGCACACAGAACCTGCACAGCATGCATGGGAGGTATGAGTTGCAATTTACTCCCCTCCCAGGCCACAGCTTTCTGCGGCCACAGCTTTCTGCCACACCCTGCTGGGCTTGAAAGTGGCGGAGGTCATGAGGATGGCGTGAGATTAGCCAAAGTCCCATTTGTTGATCATAGGTTATTCCTCTGCTTCACATTTGACTCTATGACACCTAACAACAACTGGTAGAATAAACTGCCTATTAGCCCTCTGCTGCCCAGCCTCTCTCTCAATGCCTTTCATATGGACAATTGCCTCTAGACAATGTTGGAAGAATCTGAAGAAATCTGCAGCGACCTGGAAGCAATGACCGAGAAACTTCAGTACCTGAGCAGCGTGTACTGCACTGAAAAAATGTTCCAGCAAGTGGCAGAACTGGGACGGGAGACCGAGGAGGTACAGCAGATGATCAAAATCCGTTTACAGAGTCTGCAGGATGCCGCCAAGGTGAGAAAGAAGCAAAGGGATGTGCATACTGGTGTTTCAGTGGTCAGACACTCACCTTCCTTGCAAGACTTTCGGGTTGGATTCCTGGTCAGTGTCCTCAAATACAGCCACCACCGGCCTGTTGGTGGAATCGAGTCTGTTGTGATGCTGAAGAGGTATCGGTGGTAATTCTGCTTTACTGGGCTGCCGAGAAAACAAATAGATATCGCTTAGAGAAAATGCAGCCATATAGGCATAAAGTGCTCCATACAGGCAAAGATGGTGAAGCATCTTCTCACACGCTTGGATATGTTGCTAAGTGAGGCTATTACTTGTAATGGGACATCATGCTTAGAAAAGTGGAGGGTCAGTGAAGGAAAGGAAGCCTCTTAATGAGTTGGATTGACACAGTGGCTGCAACAATGGGCTTGAGTATGCCAGAGATGATGAAGATGGCAGAGGACAGGACAGGGCTCAGAGGCATTTTCTGAGAGTCGCTATGAGTGATACTTGACTCAAAGGTACATAAGAGCAACAAGAACAAGATAGACTAGGAAGAAACATCTGGTGATCTGCTTCTAAAAATCAGCCAATGGAAGCCCTGTGGATTACACAGGGCCTATTCCGTTGTATAATGTCTCTTAATGACATCTAACAATATTATAAACAATATATATGCAAGTGTGTGTATATGCACATGCACATATATAAGGTATCTCTGATGGCCTTGTGATAAGAAGCTGTGCTGCAATCCCAAAGCTATGCAGTTCAAATCCACCTGATACTTCTTGGGAGAAGGATGGGCATTCTCCTCCCATGTGATATACTACCTCTGAAAGCCTGCTGAAGGGTCAGGTATGAGTTGGTTCTGATTCAATTACACATAACAGTAAGATAGATAGATAGATGATAGATAGATAGATAGATAGATAGATAGATAGATAGATAGATAGATCTCTATGTTGTTGATTGCCTTCGAGTCGAGCACGACTCTTAGTGACCCCATGAACAAAAGGCCTGAAGCCCCTCTACAACTATCAACATTTATCAATTTTCATAGAGTTTCCAGAGGTGTGTTGTTTAGGAAAAAAAGCAGCCACTAGAGAAGTACAGTGCTTCCCTCTGCTGTGGTCACTTGGCTGTGGAGTTACTTCTCATCTATGCCTTTAGATTCCAGGCATTTCTTTTCTTTTTTTTTTTCTTTTTTTTTTTGGCATTTCTATATTGATATTCATGTCACCTTTTCTTACCAGGATATGAAAAAATTTGAAGCCGAGCTCAGAAATTTACAAGCTGCCCTGGAACAGGCGCAGGCAACACTGTCCTCCCCGGAAGTCGGCCGTCTCAGTCTCAAGGAGCAATTATCTCATCGACAGGTAAACAGAAAGAATTAGGAAAAGTGGTGGAGATTGGAGTTTACAAAGAAAAAGTTTGGGGGAAAACCCCACCAGTTTCTAAATTCATCTAACAATCTTAGTACTGTTTGCATTATTTTTTTAAAAAAGAACAAATTTTTCCCAGTGTCACCCATTTTATATAGTATTTCATGAGTTCCTTGTTTTCAATGCCGCATAGTATTTCATTGTGTGGATATGCCAGAGCTTCTCTATCCATTCATTTGCTGATGGGCACTTGGGTTGTTTCCAGCTCTTTGCTATTGTGAACAAAGCCGAAATAAATATAAAAAATAGGTGTGTGTGTATCTGTTTCGGTGGCAGTTATGGTTTCATTAGGGTATATTCCCAGTAGTGGAATTTCTGCGTCTCAGTCACAAAAAGACAAATACGGTATAATGCAATTGTTATAAAAGAGGACTGACATTGGGGTTGGGAGGAGACTGAGAAAGATGGGCTAAATAATGTATACTGCATTGAAACTCATGAGGGAGAGAACTGTTTAAAAAGGATATATGGTTAGATATTATTGTTATGACAGGAGTTCAGAAGGAAGGTAGCAGAGTGGAGTGGACTTAGGGGGAGGGATTGAATAACGATGAAAGATTTTTTATTTCCCCGAAAGAAAAGGGAATTTGTGAGGAGAGGTGAGCAGGGAGAAAAGTGCAACAATGAATGACTAGAACTCCAAAGTCTCTGTAAACTTTCATTAAAATCAACTTAAACTAACAAAAAAAAAATATTTTTTGCAAACTCTTTCTAACTTGTAATGCAGCTGAACAGAATCTCTTGGGTGGTACAGATTAGTTAAGTGTTTAGCTGAAAAACCACATAGTTCTGGTTGGATCTCACCCAGGACTGAATGATTATCAGTTAAAAACTCAAGTCATTTCCCTCCAGTCAGGATTGACTCACAGCTGAGCCTCCGGTGAGTTTTCTGAGATGACCTGTCTGTCTTCAAGATAGCAGTTGGTGGATTTGAACCAAATGCCTATGGGTTGGCAGTGCAGCTTCTTACCACTAGTGCACGGGAGTCCCTTCGTGGGTAAAACTCACTGAGATCCTGATGAAGCGAGGCTATACACCTAGACATAAATTAGTGATGAGTCAATGACAACTGGTTTCACCGCCACAGTTGTAATTTACTCAGTGTCTCATAGTATATTAAACCTTTTAAGTTACTCCAGAATATACATTTTGATATTATAAATGGCATGATTGAGATTCAATTACATATACATTTGATATTAAATACTATTTTGCCTTCCACTGGAATGACACAGTTTTGACATTTGACGTGACACTTTCAGCACTTGCTATCAGAGATGGAGTCGCTGAAGCCCAAGGTCCAGGCTGTCCAGCTGTGCCAGAGTGCACTCCGGATCCCCGAGGACGTGGTGGCCAGCCTGCCACTCTGCCACGCGGCCCTGCGGCTGCAGGAGGAGGCCAGCCGGCTGCAGCACACGGCCATCCAGCAGTGTAACATCATGCAGGCAAGTGCAGCCAGTGTCCCCAGGGCCTGCGACGACCCCCTGGCCCAGAGCAAAGACTGCGTGAGTCAGGAGCTGCTTTTATTAGCATTGTGTGGGCTCACCCGTCAAAACCCTTCCCCAGTGTTATATTTGACAGCTTGTTGGGGTTATGTAAGAGGAGGAGATTAAAGTGCTATCGTTCGGCTCGCCCACCAACGCCTGGGGAAAGCTCCTTTAAAAATATCTGTGGTAGGAAAACAACAAAAAAAATCTGTGGTGGTAGCTATCTTTGAGTTGCAAGGAACAACTTCTAAAGGTTAATGTTTTATACAGTCATCTATCTTTACCATGTCCTAGTATCCCCAGAATAATGTTGAGCCTCTTAAGATAAATTTAAAGTTATTGTACATTACAGAATGGTTTTCGTATTTTAGCTTTGGGGCACCAGATGCAGTTTTTACCTAAGAAGTGCGCTCAAGTGCTTTGCTCTTTGTTTCTTGAAGCGATAAAGGGACTTTTATGTGTCACAAAGAAATTACAGCATTTACCTCCTACCGCTTGCCTGCGTTGTTTTTGTCGTTAGGTGCGGTCGAGTTGCCTACGACTCACAGGGCATCTGTGGATAACAGATCTGAGCCTTGTCCTATCCTGCACCACTGTCCCAGTCTCCATCATGTTCAAGCCCACTGTCACTGTCAATCCATGTCAACAAGATAGCTTGATCACCAACGTTAGCAAAACAAACAAAAGCATAAATCACCTTTGAGTGAGGTTCTAGCGGCCCGTTTCATCCTCTGTCTTTGTTCCTCGTATCATTTTATGTTTGGTAAAGGAGTAAATTGAAGTCATCCATAGTTCATTTCTTTTATTCCTTAAAAAAAAAAAAGTCACTCAGTCTAGAGCCTCACATCCATTTTCAGTAATTCTGAGATGGAAAAATGAATCCATTGTGTTCTTCATGTTGTTTCTAACCACTATGTTGTCGTGACAGTGGATCCTAATTGCTTAGCTACTTGGAGTTCGTCAATAATTTGGTAAAATATTTTAGGGAAAGGGTTTCCAAAAATCTGATTTAAGGATTGGGGCAGCCTCGTGGTTTTGCCCTGTGTTTATTCTCTAGACATGCAGGTAAATGAGAGCTAATGTGTGTGTGTGTGTGGGGGGGGGGTGTCCAGCAGAGAGCCGCATAGACATAAGTACTGAGATAGGAAATCGTATGTGCTTCTTTCAAAGGAGGCTGTGGTGCAGTACGAGCAGTATGAACACGAAATGAAACGCCTCCAGCAGCTGATTGAAGGAGCTCACAGGGAGATCGAGGATAAACCAGTGGCCACCAGCAACATCCAGGAGCTGCAAGCCCAGATCTCTCGGCATGAGGTAGGCAGGAACGCAGGCAGAGTGCGGGGCAGGGCTCTGGCTTGATCGGAATATAAACTCGCTCCTCCCTCACCGACGTGGCTCAGTGTTAAGTAAAATCGGTGTTGTGTACGAGGGGGCTATGCCTCACGGCTGGTGGTGGTGTTTTCCAGCCCTGGTGGCTCACGATCCATCAGGTACCATCGTGTTTCTCAGGATACTCACGGTGATACGGGCCCCCTTCCAATCATGCCTTCTCCATTCCCAGCACCCATCACATGCATTCAGGGTTGTGACGGTGGTGGTCAGAGGACGTTGCCTCCTGCTGTACACCCTGGATGGGTCATTCATCTGTCACCACCCCAGCGCCAGTAGCCCTCTCCTTCTAGGCGCCAGTTTGCCTGGCTCCTTCAGACCCTCACCTGACATCCTCTTGTCCACCTGCTACATCATGTCACCTATTGTCACCTTGTGTTTCACATGACTATTCCAAGATGCCACAGATAGACAGGAGGGTCCAAAACTGGCCAGCTACTGCCTCTCGTGTGGCCCGACCATTACTGAGGCCTCTGTATAATTTGGCATTGCCTATGGACGGCACCTCAGACCTAAGTGTGGCCCTCAGTAGGGCCTAGAATGTGGGTGGGCCTCCTGTGAATTTTTTCAAAATTGTCTTTAATGCTTAATGCCAGATAATGAGATACAGACAGTGAGTGAGACGTGGGTGTTTGTGATTATTTTTGGTGAATGACAGAGCCTTTCCCTGTTCTGCATTTCTTGTGCTCAGCTCTTTGAAGGGCTTTGCATTTTCAGGCCTGTTTTTGCTGGTCTTCCCCAGTGTGCAGTAATGGGAGCTTTCCCTTTCATGCTGTGCCTTCCTTATAAATGTTGTCTCAGCCTCCACCCACTGACTAGTTTCCTGCACCAGAATTATCACAATGGATTCACTAAACCTCAGTGTTTTCCCTGTATTTAAAACCCACAAGAAGCAGCAGTGTTCAAAGTACTGCTTCAGTGATTGTCATCTGCAGAAGACAATCACTTCCTCAAACGTCTTATCATTTCAGTTGTGTCTTCCACCTAAATAGAGGAATCAGCCTCATTGTTTGTGCGGCTGACTTCTAGGTTGGGCCTAGCAGTTAATGGGAGACTTTATTGTTTGTTTTGTGGTTGTATATGTGCCTTCCAGTCAGAATTGATGCACAGCTGACACTCCAATGAGTTTTCAGAATCTGTAAATCTCACAGGAGGAAAGAGTGCCCATCTTTCTCCTGTGGAGCAGCTGGTGGATTTGAACCAGTTACCTTTACGTTAGCAGGGCAACTTCTTACCCACTAGGCCACCAGAGCCCTTTCTCGTTCATGGAATCACAGATCTGTTTTATGTTAGTATTTGGAAACTCTTCCACAGACACCGCTTCATTTAGGCATTGCTGAACTTACTGATGGTTTGCACTTGCTTTCTTTCCTGAGCTGTCAATTTCAGCAGAGACTGGAGGGCTAGCTCATAGCATCCTGGTTTTGATAAATAACTGAGGTATTAGTTACTGTGTGCTGTTGAGTCTGTTCTGATCCACAGTGACCCCACATGACACACTAGAACTGTCCAATAAGGTTTTCTGGGCTGTGATCTTGATAGGAACTGTCTATCACATCTTTCTCCTGGAAAGCAAGCTTGTGATCAACAGTTGTGCTCACCAAAACTGTTGCATGCTTAACCAGTGTGCCCCCACATCTAGGGAGGCCTTACTTTTCTGCAAAAAGCATGGAGAGTTAGTTTACTCTTATACTTTCTTCACCTCAACTCTATCATAAGAGCAACAAACTGTTTCTTGCAAATCTCTAGATTAAGACTTTTAGAAGTTCAAAGTTCTGTCTCTTAAACAGGGAAAATCGAATCACCACCAGCAACCCTCTGCATCCACATAGATTAGCTTACATTTATAGATAATTTACAAAATAATTTAAAAAGCGATCATACTAGCATTTACTCCTACAACGATAGGTTTTTGTCTATATCAACTCTTCTACACGTGGTTAGGGAACTATGGCAGGCACGCACCTGGAGAGTTGCACTGCTTAACTGCTTAGCCAAAGCTATGTTTCTTCACCAGTTCAAGTCCACTAGTAGGTATGAGAGAGAAAGATGAGCAGTCTCCTCCTGTGCAGTTTACAGCCTCAGAAACCCAACGCAGAGTGAGCGATGAGTCAATTCCAACTTGACAGTAACGAATTCAGAGCTATATTGGGTAAATGAAAGTGAATTTTGCAAAGTTTGGAGCCATTTCTAGAACTCATCCATTAGATTATGTATTAAGTAGTCTGATTACCTATTTATTTTGAAATTATTTTTGGTCCCATTTCCTAAGATCCAGATTTTACTGCACTGCCAGAATTTAATTCATCGTGGTACAGAATATATAAAACAAGCTTGGAAGCAGGAGTGGCATCCACTTCTGCAATGGCTTGCCTCAGGAAACTCTATGAACAGTACTCAGGTCTTCTGTTCATAGGGTTGCTATGAGTTGTCTACAACTCGACGGCACCTAATAACAACAATAGAAAAGATTACCATAGTGAACTAGTAATAATTTAGAGGTTTAATCATTTTATTATGGAGCTCTTATGGCCTACTGGTAAGAAGCTGCACCACAATCCCAAAGGTACACAGTTCAAATCCACCAGCTGCTCTGCGAGAGAAGGGTGGGCAGTCTCCTCCTGTTTGATATGTTCCTTATGAAAACTCAGTGGAAGGTCAGCTATGAGTTGATTCTGACCTGACAACAACATCATACATTAACAATCTTTTGAGATAGGTATCTATTGTGTGGGACTGTTTTGATGTGGCTATTATTTTTATATCTTTTACTAGCTGTGTCAGAGTCAGTGAGACTGGCTCAGGCTAGGGTAGAGTTCAGAGCTGTTGTACATGGGATCACCGTGAGTCAAAGGCAACTCCATGGCACATAACAATGACACCTTCATTTTACTGATTAGAAAATTGAGAAACTGCTTTTCTATAGGGACTTCCTAAGCAAATCAAGTATGGAAAGCTCACGGAAACCCAATGTCTTTGACTTAAAATTCCACAGATTTTCCACTATAGCAGAAACCATATGAGCTACTTTATTGCAGAGACAAAAAGAACAAATTTTGAAAAGTATATTATTTTCTCTGTGTGTGTACCATCAAATTGGATCTGACTGGTACAGGAGGAGATGGCCCCTCCTTCTCCGGCAGAGCATCTGGTGGATTTGAACCTCTTATCTCTGGGATTGCACTGCAGCTTCTTGCCACTAGGCCACCAGAGCTCCCCAAATTTTGAAGAATATAAAGCTTGGATCCAGTCATGGAAATCTTCTGGCAGCTTCCTCAGTAGTCGTCATCTAGGTTTTTCTTTTTTTTTTTTTTTGTCCCATTTTCTCATTATCATGACTGTAAATGTTAATGTAAATATGTACTAGTTTTACACAGTGATTTAGCATCATTTTCTGTGACAGTGAGGTCCCGTGGGAGGTTTGTGCCTAAAATACACAAGAGTAGAAAAATGCAACACAGAGCAAGTCATTTGCGGTAACATAAGAGTCAAACCCCAGAAAATCTGTCTCTGTCTTTCTGGACAATCACTCACACCTTAGTCCATCAGAGCTTCATCTTTAATTCCTAGCATTGTCCACAATGTTAACAACCAGCCAACACAGGCAAAAGGAGATAGAAAAGGTGCGTTTATACTGGGGAAAAAATCCTGGGCACTGTTTCTTGAAGTCACATGGACTTTATGAAAGTCCATGATTTGGACCAAACAGAACATTCTTGTAAAGCTCACTCTGTCAGTCACTGCCATTGAATCAGGACTGATCCTCTAACAGGTTCTCAGAGGCTGTAAATCTCAGGGGAGGAGATTGCTCTTCTTTCTTCTAAGGAGCAGCTAGTGGATTTGAACTGTGCACCTTTGGGTTGCAGTGCAGTTCCCTACCCACTAGACTGCCACAGCCCCCTCATAAAGCTGGGAACTCAGAGTGTGTGCACGTGGTGACCAAGAGTTGAATCTTTAGCAGATAGTCAAGTGAGTTCTATGAACAGTAATGTTAAGCTTGAACAAGACGCTTGCTGTGGAGTGGACGTGCCTTTATAGAGCACAGCAGTTGGGTTGGGGCTTGTCCACTAAGGCTTCACCGTAGAAAACTAAGAGAATATCTGTCTACTTCACAGAGATGGCTCAGATTCACGCAGTAGGTGAGCACACCAGTGCACAAAGCTTAGTGACTCATTCCATGAAATGATAACTTCAACTAATTTAGTAAATATTTAATTGAGTGGTTGTACTCTTCACCTCAGAACTCTGTTGGTGCCATGGTTAAGGCGTTTGCTTGCTAACCAAATGGTCAGCAGTTCAAACTCACCAGTCACTCTGTGGAAGAAAGAAGTGGCCATCTGCTTCCATGAAGAGAAAAGGCCATGGGGCAGCTCTTCTCCGTCCTGTAGATGGACCGTGAGTCGGTGTTGACTTGATAGCAGTGACTTGGTTTTGATTTTGGTTATAGGCCCTTTGGGGGTATGAAAAGGTTAGCACTTAACTGCTAAGCAAAAGGTTATACGTTTGAACCCAATGAGACTATCTCAGAAAAAGGGCTGGCAGTCTGTTCTGCAAATTCAGACATTGACAACCATGGACACAGATGAGTTCTCCATGAGTCAAAGTCAACTGATTTCAGTATTTGCTGGCTAACTTTTGTTGGTTTGGGTTTTTTTTATTCCTAACATAGTACCAAAGTAAATAGTCACATCTACTTTAATTATTATAACAATAACACTGCGTTTCAATAGCTATAAGGTAAAGAGGAAATGACTTTCTAACCCCTTAGTCATAGTTTTTGGAATCTCTATTAAAAAACAAGAACCCTAGAAATCACTAGAGAAATCATTACCAATCCAGAAGACAGGCTGCTATGTGGTTTTATTTCCACTCCTCAGTTTTGGTTGGAGGGAAGAACAAAGAAACAATAATAATAACGATCACATGTGTATATGTGTATATATATGTTTATGTATGCTTTTGTGCATGGATATAATACACATTCTTCTTCCTTTTTTAAACTTTCTATTATGACTTGAATTCACAGAGCTAATGGATTTTTCATTCAACTATTTGTACATGTTGTTTATTGATACATTGACTACGAGCCTCACATTGGAATAACACTCATCTATTTTCTCTCTCTTCTTTGCATTTCCATATTTTTCTCCTATACCACCTTGCCTTCTCAACTTTATCTTTAAGCAAATGTTGCCCCTTAGATCTTGTATTCAAGGTTCATTATTCTGAGGAGTAAGTTCCTCCCTGGTTTTATTGATCATCTTGTCAGTCTGTCTATTGTTTGTCTGGAAATTGAGTTGTAGTGGTAATTTCAGTGACTTGAAGGATGACTCAGACATAATCCCAGGGATCCTACCAGTCTCTTATCAATGCCAATATGTTTGGTCTTTTGGATAACTTTGAGTTTTGTTGCACGTTTCTTCCCCTCTGTTGTCTTTCACTATGATCCCTTGCAGAGCATCAGCCATGATGGCTGGGCACCATCTAGTTCTTCTGGTCTCTGGGTTGTGAAGACTTAAGTTCACATGATTCGTTGTTCCACTGGATTGATAGTCTTTTTCTTCACTTTGGGGTGTGAACAAAAAAGGTCAGTAGTGGCATCTTCAATGGCCATTCCCAAGTTTTTAAGACCCCTGCTGGTATTTACCAAAATAAGGTGTTGAGAAGTGGCTTTGTAGACTATGTTATGCCAATTGGCCATGCATGGTGTCATTGTTGTTGTTGTTGTTGTTGACTGTGGTTGAATCGAGCATGACTCATAGTGACCCTATAAAAAGACCTAAAGCCAGTCTACAACTATAGTTGTTTTTCAAAGTTCATAGAGTTTCCAGAGGCATGTTGTTTAGGAAGTGGATACCACCTATGCTTCCAAATAGTCAGACAAATATGCACATTATTTTAAAATCATTGACATTTTATGTTTTTTTAACAAATTACATTCTCTGCAAACTCTAAATGCTTTTCCAGAAAAGGAAATAGACTAATTATTCTGTATCTAGAATTGATATTTGAAATAAGTGCTCATTTTTATTTAATTAGAATGTGTGTCTGTTTTAAGCAAGGAAAGTATTACTTCAGTGTTTTAGAATTATTATTGAACAACTCTATAGCTGTTTTTAGAGGTCTGTGCTGTTCAGAATATAGTTTTTAAACACTGTACGTGTAATTTTTTATCAACACGGTGCTGCATAAAAACAATAAAAAAATCTATGTGGCATAAATAGATTTTTTTAAAGGTCGTAAATCTGTGGAATTCACAGCATGTATTTGAAATAAGGGAGCTCTCATGGCTGAGTGGCAAGAAGCTGTGCTGCAATCCTGAAGGCACGGGGTTTGAGGCCACCAGTCACTGTGGGAGGAGGATGAGCCATCTCCTCCCATGCGATTAACCGCCGCACACTTTTAAACTGAGGACCCGTTCTTAGACTGTGCTTATAGCTGTCATTTACGGCAACGTATTAACTGCCTCAGAAAATCCTCTGGAGGGTCCGCTATGGGCCATTTCCCACCCAATGGCAAACAACAACAACAATAACAACATATTTGAAATATACTTTAAAACATAAGGCAAATATTTTGAGTGTTTGGTAAAATTTTTGAAAACCACTCTCTGAAAACACTCTTTTTTCTTTAAAGAGAAAGGAAGCAAACCAACTTAAAGACTATTAAAGTGGAACCTGAAATTCAAGGCTGTGGTTTGGAGCATCAGGAAAAACTGACACATTAATGAAATATATATGCAAAAAAAATCAATGAACGTCAAGAATTTCATCTGGGGAAAATTGCATTAAAATTAAGGTTTAAATTGCATTAAAAAAATTAAGATTTGCATTTTTAGACCCCTATTGGTGTTCAGTTTGGATTAGCACCCTGGACTGCCAAGGGAATCACTAGTGGGTCAAATCCTCCAAGCACTCTGCTTCTTTAGATATTTATACGGTTGGAAGCCCTGCAGGGCGGTTCTACTCCACTCACCAGCTGTGGGTTTGGTTTTATACTTTGCATACCTTTTGGCTTATCGAGAGAAAATGAAACTAAACAAAAACCCATCTGGGTGGTCACAGGCTATGACAGGCAGTTTGCTGTAGGACCCTGTCTCTGCCACGCCTTTGAGATAAGAGCTGAGTGCTGCATTTTTGGAGTTAAACTCATCACATGACCTCATTTCCATGGCATGAACCAACTGGCAAATTTCAGATTCCTCAAGCTTTGTAGAGGAAGGTGCCAGCTCTTAATGTGAAGTAAGCTTCCGTCTGGGTGCAGGGCGATTAGAAAGCGGCGCCAACACAGCGCCGCCACCTTGTCACCAAGCGCAGGGCGCAGCACCGCCCCGCGCGCCCTGCCTGCGGTTTGCGCGCTGGAGATGCAGCGGGCCTGGCCTCTTCCCCATCCACATCCTGCCTCCCTGGCCGCTTAGCACTGCCCCGCCATCTCATTGGCTGCCCCGGAGCTCGTCGGCTGGGGAAGATGAATGCTACTAGTTCTGTTTCCTTCTGATGCTGCTCTGACACTCGGGGGAAAAACCATGTTTCCACAGGAGCTGGCTCAGAAAATCAAAGGCTACCAGGAACAGATCGCCTCACTGAATTCCAAGTGCAAGATGCTGACCATGAAGGCCAAACATGCCACCATGCTGCTGACGGTGACCGAGGTGGAAGGGCTGACGGAAGGCTCTGAGGACCTGGACGGGGAGCTCCTCCCCGCGCCCTCGGCCCATCCCTCTGTGGTCATGGTAAGATCAGTCCGGGCCCTCCCCTGGGGCGCGCTTTCTGACTGCACCCTGGTTTCTGCCTCTCGGCTCGCTCGCCTGGGCTCATTTTAGGGATCAGCCTTCAGAAACTGCAGATTCCATAGGAGCAGCAGTCTCCAGTAAACTCTCTTGGACAACATCTGGGCCCATAGCTAATCTTTGACATTGTAAACAGTGGCCTTTGAAAGGAAGCTGCAGGCTTGAGATGGTTGAATTACTTAGCATATCAAAGGGCTGCTTTACATTTGTTGATAATTTAGCAAGAATACAGGGAGGTTCAAAGCATTAGGAAAACATTTCTTTGCACATTTTCCTAGTTTTCTGAGAGAGCTAGGATCTTGAGGCATATATTTGTTTTCCAAGCTGCATCACCAGCCAGCTACATTGGTGCATGTATTCCTTTTCATAAGTGTTTCATATAATTTAGCAGAAAAGCTATCACTAGAAAAGTGTTTTGCTTTGGATTCTAAGAAACCAGCTCCACTAATTCCTATCCTACACCATTATTTCGCCATTCACTTCGCGTCAGAATGCAGTGGTCATTTTGGTAGCTGTTAACGCTTGCCATCATGTTTTGCACACGTGTGCCGAGCCTCAGGTAACATATGACCGGAACTGGCAATATGTTATTGCGGGGGGCAATTCTTTCCCTAGGATTTCTGGAAATTGAATGTTCACAAAAGACCAGGATTTAATTCAGCAGGCCCTTTTGAGTTGTCTATACACACAAACGGAAAGAAAAAAAGCAAAATGCCTTAGCGAAGTATTTAATCAAGAGCAAAACTCTGGAATATAAGTTACTCCCACTCTGTGTTTGTAGTACAAATAGTCCTTAGTATCATATTCCTTTAAGGACACATTTTAAATACTAACACCGAATTACTATGTCAAATTGAAATGTTGTTAACTGTCACCTTTGTTATATGATGAGTTGTGTTTTAACCTGTGCCTGACAAGGTCTTTTGTTGACATAGCTAACTGATTTTCCTGTCCTTCGGACTTACATTGTATGTGGCAGATGACTGCAGGTCGCTGTCACACTTTGCTGTCACCTGTCACTGAGGAGTCTGGGGAGGAGGGAACCAACAGTGAGATGTCCTCTCCACCTGCCTGTCGCTCCCCTTCACCCGTGGCTAATATAGATGCTTCTGTTAACCAGGTACCTCCTCCTTGGCATGCTCCCAGCTCTGCTCTCTGCAGGGATGCAAGACTCCATCTAAGCCCTTGTTAAACTGGGGGTAGGGGTCTCAAGCTTGGCCACAGCTGGTTATGGTGGAGTCCACCATTAGGTGCTGTATTTGCTCAGGCTGTGGTTGCCACTGGCCGGCCCTTCGTGGCTACTGAAAAGGAGAAGAGCAAAAATTAAACTCCTGCCCTCCAGTCGATTCTAGTTCAGAGCAACCTGGTAGAAATAGAACAGCCCCATAGTGGCCAACGCTGTAATCTTTGGAGAAGCAAAGATTAATCTCTGTGGAGCCTCTGGTGTGTTTGACTGCAGATCTTTCTGTGAAGAGCTGGGCTCTTAAACATTCAGCCACCAGGGTTCCTTGAGCCAATATCAGTTTGAGGAAACGCTCGTGGAGGGGTCTGTTTTCAGGTGTTGTGAGTTCAGTGTGAAATCATCTGGATGGAGTACTGCATCCTAAAAGAAGCGAGTGCCCGTGTCACCTTGTGAGACATTGCCGTTCACTGTTACCTTAACATTGAACATGGTTTTGATTTTTTTTAAAAAGACACTTAAATGCATATTTCAAAGGTGGAAAACATTCCTTCACCTGTCATGCTTTTTCTTCATTTACCAGTTGTGAGCCAACGTAAGGGTTGACAGCCTAGCCAGTGTGTCAGAATGCCTATGTAGATTTCAGATTCCTCAATTCCCATTCAGCAATTTGCAGCATTCACTCCTATTAAATGAGATGATACCATGTGTTGGAAGGCACTTGTAGCTTATGTTCAAAATAAACCCCTCTGCCAGCGAGTTGGTTCTGACTTAGAACGAGCCTGTCGGACAGTGTGGGACTTCTCCGTGGGGCTTTTAAGGGTCTAAGTCTTCACGGAAGCAGACTGCCTCATCTTCATCGCGGGCAACTGGGTTCAAAGCCCCATCCTTTTAGTTAGCAGTCAGATGCTTTAACCACAGTACCACTCAAGCTCCTTCTATATAAAGTATTGTTGTTGGCATTATGTGCCTTTAAGTTAGCTCTGAGTCAAAGTGGAATGAAACTTGCCCCCCCCCCCCTGAGCCATCCTCAACATACTTGGAGCACATTAATTATCAAACAAGTCTAAAACTCAAACTTACTGCGGTTGAGTCTTTGTTCTATGGAGTCACTGGTAGATTCAAACTGCCAGAGGGACCACCTTTGATTTAGTAATGCAACTTCCTATGAAGTATGACACCAGAACTCCCTGGATTAAGCTGCTGTTGTGTCCCGTCGAGTCAGGACTGACCCATAGCTGACCCTCCAGCGGGTTTTCAAAGGCAGTTAGTCACATCGGAGGAGATTGTCCATCCTACTCCCGCAGGGCAGCTGGTAGTCTCGAACCACATGCCTTTGGGATCGCAGCACAGCTTTTTTCCCACTAGGGCCACCAGAGCTCACATATTAAGTGATGATGTGTGTATTGTCAAGTTGGAACTGACCCATAGTTGACCCTCCAGTGGGTTTTCAGAGGCAGTTAATCATGTAGGAGGAGAATGTCCATCCTTCTCTTGATATTTAATATAGATTAATTATGAAATATTGATGATAAATATAGATTAATTATGAAATATTGATGTTGTTACAATATGCCTTCTCCTGATATATAAATATAGATTAATTATGAGGGGAGCTTTGGTGGCCTAGTGGCAAGGAGCTGCAACTACAATCCCAGAGGTGCACGGCTCGAATTCACCAGATGCTCTGCCGGGGAAGGAGGGACAATCTCCTCCTGTACCAGTCAGATCTGATTTGATGGTACCCTCACACAAAAAAATTTAAAAAAAAAATATAGATTAATTATGAAATATTGATTTTGTTGCAGTATGTCTTCAAGTCAGGATTGACTCATAGTTGATCCTCTAGCAGGTTTTGGAGATTTTAAATTGCACAGTGAAACCAAGCTGCTCCTTGGAGACGAGGATTTTGAAGCTATGTCTCACATAATTTGGGCATTGTTGGCCAGAGGAATTAGTCCTTGAAGAAAGACATCGTGCTCAGGAAAGTGGGGGGACAATGCAGGAGAGGAAGACCCTGGATGAAATGGATTGATACAATCACTGGGGCAATGGGGGCACATATGTCAGAGACAGTGAGATTGCCTCTGTTCAGAACTAGTGTGCATAGGGTCACTCTGAGTTGCAAGTGACTTGATGACAATGACAATAACAACAAATTGCATGAGAAGAGATTGCCCATCTTTCTCCCACAGAGAAACTGGTAGATTCAAACCCTCTACTTTTGGGTTGGCAGCACAACTCCTTACCCATTAGACCACCAACCAGAATTCCTTTAAATATAGATAATATTAATTTGTTATTTTTTAAAAAATAAGTTTTTTGTGAATTATATTGCATGGAATCTGTGTGTGTGTGTGTGTGTGTGTGTGTGTATGTGCGTGTGTGTACCGTCAAATCGGATCTGACTGGTACAGGAGGAGATTGCCCCTCCTTCTCCAGCAGAGCATCTAGTGGATTTGAACAGTGTACCTCAGGGATTGTAGTGCAGCTTCATGCCACTAGGCCACCAGAGCTCCCTTGCATCTTTTTAAAAGATGCCTTTGCAATAGTAATTTTTCTAAAAAGTGCACGTTAAAGACTATAAGAAGCCAAAATAATGGAAAATATACTTAAAAATTAAGTTACCACCAAAGGATACAAGAGTCAAAAGAAACTGAGAAGTGTCCTATAACTGCAAATGCTCCTCTGTAAGCCACATTGCAGATTAGTTGTGCTTTATTTCTGTGCTTAATCGTGTTTGCCTTTAATAAAAACATATTACTGGTGAATAACCTACCATAAATTAGAAAACACAAATCTTATCTATTAAATGTTAAACTAAATATTACAAGCATCTTCTTTCCACAATCTCTTGGTTAAATAAATTTCTATTTTAAATTGAAAGAATATTTTTGAAAAATTCCCAGATGAAAGTATGAGTAAAACAACTATGTTAAAATTTTGGAGTGTTACATTATTTACAATTTTGGGTACTATGCGGTGAGCAGGATACAGCCTTCTTAATGCCAATATATTTTCATAATTTTGCTAATTTTTTCTAAAGCATAATCCAGAGATGCATTAACTCTGTTAGTCAATGGTTTTGTGGGGTTGTGTTTTTTTTTTTTTGTTTATTTGTTTTGTTTTAAGGGAAGTAAAAAGGTTATAATTTAAGTAAGTAGAATACAATCACTTAGTCAAGATAGCTGCTGACATTAAGTCACATCATTTTCTATTTTAAAAGTGGATACTCTCAAAATAGTACTTATGTGATCAAGAGAAAACAAAGGTGATTAAAACTGCTAAGTTCTTGTTAGTGGCTGTCACATGGAGCGTAACTATGAAGAACAGATCTGAACCCTGTCCTATCCGGTGCATCCTCATTATTTCAAACATGATTTTTGCAGCAGTCACTGTGTCCATCTGTCTGACAAAAGGTCTTCCTCTCTTTCACTGACCACCCACCTTTCTCAACATGATGTTCCTCTCCAAGAAATAGCTTCTCCTAACATCACGCCTATGAAGCTTTGTCTCACATACTTCCAGCATGTTATTAGGAGAGACTATTTCTTGGAGAAGGACATCATGCTTGGGAAGGTGGATGATCAGAGAAAGAGAGGAAGACCTTTAACCAGGGCCTTGGTTGTATCACAGATGGTGAGGATGGCACAGGACAGGACCGGGTTCCGATCTATTATTCATAGAGTCACTATGAGTCGTACTGGACTCGATGGCATCTAACAACAATGCCTAACACAGTGATACTTCTAGGTAAAGCATTTCTTTTTTAGAAACAGGTGGCATAGCTCTAGGGAGTTATCAGTTCTTCCCTCCTTCACACCCTGAGCTCTTGTTGCCAGGTGCAGAATTGTGCTGGGAGCCAGAGCTGCAGGGGAGAACAAGGCAGCAAAGACCCTGGACAAAGATCTTAGAGTCCAGAGGGAAAGGTAGACGGGTATGACTTGGTAGTCATAACAAAACAGTGAGAGGAAATGAAAAAATTTTTTAAAAGGAGAAGTTTAGGCAACTGGGGAGGGTTGGGGTAACTGTTCTCTAATTTGAATTTAAAAATATATATTACTCATTCTTTGACATTCTATCTTGCACTGTAGTCACAGATGTTATTAGAGATATTTGGTTAGAGTCAGCTATTTGAAAGCTTATCCCGAGTTCTAAAAACTTCAAGTTAAATAATAAATCTTGACCTCGAGACCCATGTTGTAGAATAAAATGTACCTTTTCTAAAACTGTTCGTTTTACTGTTTCCTGTTATACAGTCTCTGTCGCTTTTTTTCCCTTTGACTAGTTCTCCTGATGCCACTATTCTTCCCTTCTCCTCAGCCCCCCTGCCCTTTCCTTTAACAGCTAAACAATAGAGATTAAAATACTAAGGAAGTGCACTCCCTTTTAAAAAATTACATTTCTACACATCTATTTCTTTCTCATCTGTTTTTATGTACTTTGCAAAAATGTTATGTGTTAATTTCTCTTTTTTTGCTCCCTGTTTTCTTGATTCTCATCTGTTTACCCTCAAAGATTGATTCTTTCTGTGTGTAAACCATTTCTCACTTCTCTATCCGTAGTCTTATACCATAACTGTGCTTTTGTTACTGACTTACGTCACTCAGCATACTTTGCTCTAATTTCATCAAGTGTGAGTTGGAAGGCTCCCTCTTACAAGGTCTCTTTCAACGTGCACGTGAAAGTTCTTTGCACATGAGAAAACGGGCAAATTATTTTACTTTGGTTGTAAACTTAATTAAATCCTGCAAGTATGATTGAGATTATGCTGCATTTTAATCCCAGGTTGACATCCCCCCCACCCCAATCACAGGAAATCATTAGTTAAATCACATTGTGACTTTAATCGGCTTATATTTAATCCAGCACATTAGGAGGGAAATGACTTTGTTTAGTTGAATCAGACAGCCTTTGCTACAGAACTGTTAAGAGGGGAA